GGCTTTCCCTGCCTGCCAGGCCCCATCCAGCCTTCCTTCTCTCCCTCCCTCCTTTGGGCAGAGGTGGGCAAACGCTACGAATGTGCCAACTTTGGAGAGCAGGGGATCACAGTGGGCTGCTGGGACCTCTACAGGCATGACATTGACTGCCAGTGGATCGACATCACAGATGTCAAGGCTGGGAACTACATCCTGCAGGTAAGGCGTGGCGGGAACAGGCGGCTCAGGCCTTTGGTTGTCGGGAATCTGGGCATGGAGTGGGGGTGGGGTATAAATGCAGAGGCTGCAAGGCCTCAGCTGCTAAGCCAGACACGGGGTGGAGATTCCCACAATGCAGAGCACAATGCAAAGTTGCGCCTTCCATCCTGCGGCCCAGAGATGGGGGGATGGCAAGCCCGGTAAAGCCAGTCCCGCTGTAGAGCAGCAGAGGTGCCCCTGCCCTGTGGGTCTTGCCTTCAGCTGCCGGATATGGTGCTCCTCCCATCTCACCTTCTGCTCCCCAGGTGGTGATCAACCCCAGGTATGAAGTGGCAGAAAGCGATTTTACCAACAATGCCATGAAATGCAACTGCAAGTATGACGGCCACCGGATCTGGGTGCATCGCTGCCATATAGGTATGGCAGGACCTGGGGGGATGCAGAGGGGCTGACCTGGCAGCGGGCGCTTTGGGGCCTCTTGTGCCAAAGCAGTTCACCCCTTTTCAAATGCCTTGCCACAGGTGATGCCCTGAGCAACGAGGCCAACGGATTCTCTGAACAGTATCCGGGACAGAGCAACAACCAGGTTGTATAGGCGGCAGCTGCCCTCCTCCTGGGCACAAGGCGGGCAGGTGGTACCAGTGGCACAGCAGCGGGCAAGAGCGCTGGATACCTCCAATCCCCCAGCCAGCAATTCAGCAGCTATCTGAAGGCAGGAGTAACTCCTGGGCAGCTAAAAGGCGCCACCTGTCACCTGCCTGCTCAGCCAGGACCAGACTGCCGCCCCTCCCTCCCTGGCATTCCTCTCAGCAGACTGCTCCTTCTCTGACCACAAGAGGCGCTGCAGGCCTCCCAGGATAGCTGCTCCTGCACGGAGCTGGGAAGGGGGCATCTCCGCTCAACTGCCCAGCCGGCGGAGCCTTTATCTGGGGCTTCAGCACCGCCTGCATTGGGGCGGGCCTTGGCCCTCCTATATAAAGTTAATTGTCTGTGTCCCCAGTTGTGTCCTGACTCGATGGTGTCGGGGAGAGGGAGGAGGCCGTTGCCAGCAGCCTTGGCGTTTCCTCCGTCCTGCTCTAAGCCTGTGCAGCAGAATGGGGCAGCCGTGGGAAACAGAGGTGCTTCCTGGCTGCCATGGGGCTCTCTGCAGGGTGATTATGGGGGAGAAAAGCTCTCTCTCTCGCACCCCACTTCCACTGAATGATCCACAGGAACCTAGGAGGAGAGTTAGCACTGCAGGAAGTCTGCACACAGCCCCCCTCCACAGAAACTCCCCCCTCTGTCCGTCCGGGCAGAAACTCCGCAGTGCAGGATTTGGAAGGAAAGTCTTACCAGGAGGAGAGGCACGGGACCTTCCCACTCCCAGCCCTCCCAAGTCCCAGGACTCAACCTCTCTGGCTCCCTGCAGCCCAGAGGATTCCCCAGGAGGAGCCCCCATGCCAGAAGGGCACAGCAGTTCCTGCCCCCCTAACAGCAGCTCAGCCGAAGGGAGACCTCGTCAGAGGCCTTATAAGGAACAGCGCCGGAGGAAAAACAGAAACGCCCCTGGCTTGGAAAATGTAATTGATTTCAGCCACGCGCTCCCAATCCTTACATCAGGTTTTCCAAAGTTCACAGCTGCCACAACGGCTGGACTCCAGCTCCCAACATCCCCAGCCCGGAGGAAGTATCTGCGGATGGGACAGGCTGGCGCAAAGTACGGCATCCTTCTGGCCGCAGAGCTGCTGCTCTAGGTTGAGGCTCCCCAGCTTCTCTTTCAGAGCCCGTAGAAAAGGGCTTGGGCTTCTCTGGCACGCAGGGCAAAAATCCCTGTCACCTCCTCAGGGATGGGCCCAGGGGGGTCCCAAGCGCCTGGATTACAGGGCTTAAGAATACTTCATGCAGAGTGCCCCCCCTCCAAGGGACAGGCTGCAGCCCAGGAAACATTCCCCCCCCCAGCAACATCTCCTGCTTGCCCATCGTCCAGCCGGGGGTAGCGTAAGCGTGTCCAGGGGCAGCCTTACATTCTAAAGGCCGGACAGACGCAGGTTCTCCACTAGAGGCTCCTGGAGGAGGCGGCCCCTGAGCTCCCTGCCCCTTCTCCAGAGGAGCAGAATGATGGGGCCCGCCCGAGGAACAAGGGCTCTGTGACAGTCCAGGCAGGTCCCATCCATTTCCCTGCCATGGGGAGCAGCGACCCAGCACGCTCGTGGCTCAACAGAGTGAGCCTTTGGGGCTGTGTGTGCGTCCGTGTGCCGAGTCCTGCTTTCATTCCCCTATTCTGTGACTTCTGGGGTGATGGTCAGCAGGAGCACCTCGTAGCCACGGTGGACCTGCAAAGTCAAGCGGCTCTGGGTCCGCACGGCTTCGTAGATGTCTTCTGCCCGTCGGGATGCCCTCCCGTTGATCTCTGTTATCACGTCCCCTGCTTTTAAACCCGACCTGTGAGAGCAGAGCAGAGGGTACCTGCCGGGCAGGAGGAGGTCCAAGAACCGCCCCCTCCCTCCCTCCCCCAACCAGCGCAGCACTCACTGGTGAGCTGGGGAGCCCACGATGACCTTATGGATGAGCACTCCATGGGAGACATCAGGGAAGGATGGGTTCCTCCCTTTCAGCTCTGACAGGATGCTGGGAAGGGAACGGAGGGAGAGGTTGCAGGGCACCGTCCTCACTTGGGCCATGGTGATTCGTATGCGGGGCCAGCCTTCCTGGCAGCACCCGTTCCCTCCCCTTCCCGGACAGCCAGGCCTGGCCTCACCAGCGAAGCAGGGAGGGAGGAGGGCAATCCCGCAGACACAGAATGGATGGCCCAGAGCTCTGGCCAAACACGAGGAGGAGGAGGAGGAGGAGGGGAAATGAGCCGAGAAGAGCCGGCTCTGCCAGCTGGAACCTGGTTGGGGCAAGAGGTCCTGCACATAGCCCAAAATTGGCTCAACTCACGCCAGAGGCCCTACCTGGGAGTCAAGGTCAGCATCATCACCCCGATGTAGCGGCGCTTGCCCTCGGAGCCCCCAAACCAGGACTCTGCAATGGGAAAGGCGGCTCTATGGGCCCGCTCCCCCCGCCCCAGCCAGCCTCAAGCACTGCTTCTAGGGCAGGAGAATCAGGAAGGAGGGACGGGGTGGGGCTCCGTGGCAGCATTCAGGATGCCTGCGAGGAGGGAGGGAAACGAGGCCAGAATGCTGGATTTCCCTCCCTCTTGAGAGGCAACGGAGACCCTGGCTGTCTTGTAGCAGCCCCTCACCCTTGTGCTTCTGCTCCTGCTCCAGGAAGGCTCGCAGACGGTCGGAGGGAATGGCGAAAGAGATCCCGGGTGTGACCTTCATGGTGTTCACACCAATCACTTCCCCGTCCTGAGAGATGAGAAAGGTCTGGTCAGTCACAAATGGGTCAGGCAGCAGGAGAGGAACCATCTTGTGCAACAACCAGTCATTTTGCCCCCTCCCAGGAAAAAAGCCCCTGCGCAATGGCTCTTCCAGGAGTGCCAAAATTGCAGGGATGGCAGCTGGTCTTCCCAAACGGACACAACAAAGGCCCAGACGCTCCCTCTCCTCCCCCCCCAAAGCTTACCAGGTTGACCAGGGGGCCCCCGGAGTTCCCAAACTGCAGAGGAGAAAAGACGGTCAGCCAAAGCAGCAGCTTCTTCAGATCCCTTCTATTTTTTAAAAAATAATTAACGGCCGCCCATCTAACATTTACTTTTTGTGAAACTTACAAGCGTGACTCCACGCAGACCCGCCCTTATTCCAGCCCTCCCCCCTCCCCGGGGAGCTTACGTCGATGGCGGCGTCCGTCTGGATGTACTCCATGTCGGAGGACGCCAAGCCCAGCTCCCGGCCTCCGCGCTGGGCCGAGCTGACGATGCCCGAGGTGATGGTGTTCTGCAGGGCGAAGGGGCTGCCCATGGCCACCACGAACTCCCCCTGCCGCACCTCGGAGGAGCGGCCCAGGCGCAGCGTCGGCAGCGGGTGCTACGCGGGGAGGAGAGCCGCCTCAGCGCCGCAGTCCGGCCGCCCTCCGCCCCGGGAGACGCTTTCCCCACGGCCAGCCCGCGGGCGGCGGCGCCCCCCCCTCACACCGCCCTCTCCCCGGGGCAGGCGGGGGGGCCACCTTGGGGCTGATCTTCAGCGTGGCGATGTCGGCCACCTGGTCCACCTGCCGCACCACCGCGTCGTAGAGCTCCCCG